TCAATCGTACACATGAAAGCTAGTCATATTTCACTCTGAAACGCTAACCAAGATTTTTCTTGCTTCTTAAAGTATGATAGTATATTAGCTCCTAAACACTAAACCTAAACCCTATAACCTAAATCCTAAACCCTAAAATCTAATCACTAAACCCTAAACCCTAACACTAAACCTTAAACCCTAAACTCTAACTCTAAACCCTAAACCATACACCCTAAACCTTAAAACCTAAACCCTAAATGCAAAACCATGAATCCTACTTTAACTTCCGCGTTCTTTTTGCACTGAATGATAAACAAAACATCAAATCATATCTGAATACAAAAAGACAAACCAATCTTATTCATGATTCTCAAAGCTTTAATGGTGAAACCAAAATTTTTATGAGTTTAGGGTTTAGGGTTTAGGGTTTAGGGGTTAGGGTTTAAAGGTTTGATTTTAGGTTTTGCGGTTTAGAGTGTAGTGTTTACGTTTAGTGTTTAGGATCAAATATGCTATGATACTTTTAGAAGCAAGAAGAATCTTGGTTAGCGTTTCAGAGTGAAATATGACTAGATGTCATGTGTATGATTGAATATAAAACTAGAGCCTCTTAACCCTAAACCCTTAAACCTAAACCCTAATCCCTATACCATAGACCCCAAACTTTAAAACCTAAATCTTATGTTAGGCTTCTGGAATCTGGTTGCGGTTCTAGTTCTTATGCTCAATGATACAAAAAGCATCTAGTCATATTTGACTACAAATCCGCAAACTAAGCTTCTGCTTGATTCTCAAAACATTGATGGTGTAGCCAAAGTTCTTATGAGTTTTTGGTCTTGAATCGTTTAACAAGGAAGCATTACTTTACTTTTCAGGAGTTGGTTGAGGATCTAGTTTTATATTCAATCATACAGTTAACATCTAGTCATATTTCACTCTGAAACGCTAACCAAGATTCTTTTTGCTTCTTAAAGTAGTATAGTATATTTGCTCCTAAACACTAAACCTAAACTCTACACCATAAATCCCATAACCTAAAATCTAACTCCTAAACCCATAACCCTAAACCCTAAACCCTAAATCCTAAACTCTAAACCCTAATCCCTAAACCCTTAACTCTTAACCCTAAACCCTTAACCTAAACATTAAACCCTAAACCATAGACCCCAAACTTTAAAACCGAAATCCTACTTTAGCTTCCGAAATTCGGTTGGGGTTCTAGTTCTTATACTCAATTATACACAAAGCATCTAGTCATATTTGAGTATAAATCCGCTAACCAAGCTTCTTGATTCTCAAAGCTTTAATGGTGAAGTCGAAGTTCTTATGAGTTTTTGGTTTTGAATAGTACAATCGGGAAACAATACTTTACCTTTCGGGATCTGGTTGAGGTTCTAGTTTTATATTCAATTATACACATGACATCTAGTCATATTTCACTCAGAAACGTAAACCAAGATTCTTCTTGCTTCTTAAAGTATTATAGTATATTTGCTCCTGACACTAAACCTAAACTCTACACCATAAATCCCAAAACCTAAAATCTAACTCCTAACCCTAAACCCTAAACCCTAAATCCTTAACCCTAAACCCTAAACAATAAACCCTAAACTCTTAACCCTAAACCATTAACCCTAAACACTAAACCCTAAGCCAAAGACCACAAACTTTAAAACCTAAATCCTACTTTAGCTTCCAGAATCCGGTTGCGGTTTTAGTTCTTATACTCAATGATACACAAAGCATCGAGTCATATTTGACTACAAATCCGCTAACCAAGCTTCTTGATTGTCAAAGCTTTGATGGTGAAGCCGAAGTTCTTATGAATGTTTGGTTTTGATTCATAAAATTGGGAAACAAAACTTTACCATTCGGGATCTGGTTGAGGTTCTAGTTTTATATTCAATCATACACATGAAATGTAGTCATATTTCACTCTGAAACGCAAGCCATAATTTGTTTTTGCTTCTTAAAGTAGTATAGTATCTTTTCTCCTAAACACTAAACCTAAACTCTACACCATAAATTCCAAAACCTAAAATCTAACCCTAAACCCTAAACCATAAACCCTACACCCTAAATCCCAAACCCTACAATATAATCCCTAAACCCTAAACCCTAACTTTACACCTTAAACCCTAAACCCTAACTCTATACCCTAAACCGTATACCCTAAACCTTAAAACATAAACCCTAAACGCAAAACCTTAACCTTAAACCCTGAATCCTACTTTAACTTCCGGGTTCTTTTTGCGTTTCTAGTTTTTATACTGAATGATAAACAAAACATCAAGTCATATTTGACTACAAAAGCACAAACAAGCTTCTTCACGATTCTCAAAGCTTTATGGTGAAGCCGAAGTTCTTATGAGTTTTTGGTTTTGAATCGTATAACAAGGAAGCACTACTTTACTTTTCGGGATCTCGTTGAGGTTCTAGTTTTATATTCAATCATACATATGACAACTAGTCATATTTCACTCTGAAGCGTTAACCAAAATTCTTCTTGCTTCTTAAAGTATCATAGTATATTTGATCCTAAACACTAAACCTAAACTCTACACTCTAAATCCCAAAACCTAAAATCCAACCCCTAAACCCTAACCCATGAACCCTAAATCCTTAACCCGAAACCGTAAACCCTATACCCTAAACTTTAAACTCTTAACCCTAAACACTAAACCTAAACCCTACACCCTAAATCCCAAACCATAAAATCTAATCCCTAAACCTTTAACCCTAAACCGTAAACCTTAACGCTAAACCTTAAACCATAACTCTAAACCGTAAACCGCACACCCTAAACCTTAAAACCTAAACCCTAAACGCAAAACCTTAACCTTAAACCTTAAGCCCTCAATCCTACTTTAACTTCCGGTTTTTCTTTACGTTTCTAGTTTTTATATTGAATGATAAACAAAACATCAAGTCATATTTGACTACAAAACACAAACCAAGCTTCTTCTTGATTCTCAAAGCTTTGATGGTGAAGCCGAAGTTTTTGGTTTTGAATCGTATAACAAGGAAGCACTACTTTACTTTTCGGGATCTGGTTGAGGTTCTAGTTTTATATTCAATCATACACATGATATCTAAACTTATTTCAGTCCAAAACGCTAACCAAGATTCTTCTTGCTTCTTAAACTATTGATATAACCCTATTTTTACTCGTTTTGACTAAGTTTTAGGTGTAGGTTTTAGAGTCTAATTGTTTTTTTTATAGAGTATTTTATAGTATTTTTCAAGTTTTTACATGTTTGGGATTCATTTGGATATAATAGAGCATTCTGGAGCAAAACAGACAACTTAAGCTGCAAAAGCAATCCGGAGACGAAAAAGCACGTAGGTGTCGAACGACACACCCCTGGTGTTGAGCGACACCAATACCTGACGGTAATTTTGAGACGCAACTTATTGATGTTTTGAAGATTTCCAAATATGGCCCAGAAATTTCTCCTATGTTTAATGAAGGCCCAACACGTTTTTAAGACATATATATAGTTTTTAGGTCATTGTTAAGACCCTAAGCTTTGGGAGGCTATTCCCTTTATCTATTCTGTTCTTGGGAGCAAAACCCTGTGGAGACTCCCTTTAGAGAATATTTTTCTTAACTCTACTCTCCTCTTGTTTTATGCATTGATTTCTTATTCAATCATGTTTTGTTCTTCTATGATCATGTTTGAGTAATCTTCTTGTTAGGTTTACGGTTTCTCATTAGGGTTATAGATGATTTAGTAGATTGCCCCCTTGCTTGGTTATCTGTAGGATTCTTCATCTTGATTATTCTTAATGCTAGTTCTAGAGTAGCTAATTAGAACTTGATATTAGATAATAGGTCTATGCCTACCATAGGTACTTGTTATTTGAACTATCATAGATGAGCCTAGGCATTTAAGAAAGAACAGGTAGGCTCATAGAAGGGTTCTAGTTTAGATACTAGGTGAACTAATCAAACTTGATAATAATGCATGCTTTAGTCTAGGATTTCTCGGCTTCTCCGGTTATCTTAGCTCTAAGTATAGGGAGTTTCGCGGAACACCAACGGTTATTCCATAATTAGAGTTTGAGTTCGAGAACGGTTCGATAACAACCTAGCTATTTCTAGATCTGCTATCATCTATTTCCTGAGAATACCCTAAGCCTGACGCTTTTATTATCTTGTTTTCACAACTCACAATTGATTGATATTGCTTACTTTTTGTTTCTTTTATTTTCATTACTATTTTACTTAGCTTAATTCAATAGCCATTAGTCTATTGCGTGATCCGAGAACTTTGTGAATTCGATCCCTAAGTGCTGCAACTGACCTCTTTATTTGAGAGTGATACAAGGTTTTGTGTGTCAATTCCCTAAATACATCTTATGTCATTGTAGCATTTAAGGTGTCAATCCAATTCGGTGGAATTGCTAACAATCAGGATGTGATCAGAGAATACTAAGTCAAGCCAAGTGTGAATAGGTTTGGTGTGTTTCTACTAATCCTAAACAATAGGTTAATATGCAAATCAAATTCGGAAATGAAACTATACTAAGCAGAAGGTAAAGAGCACAAGTGATAAAAACATAAATGAAACTAAAGTCAAGGAACTGTCAAGTGCAAGAACATGAAAGTAAACCAAGCACTAAGTAAGGTACTCGGTCGAGCATATTACTTAAATAGGTCGAGTAGAATACTAAAAACACCAATTTTGCACAAGAACTAAACAAAACGAACAGAGTACTAAAGACACGAGATTTGCACATTGAAACGAAACAGAGCTCTTAAAAATGGGGTAATTGGTTCTAATAGACTCCTCAATCCATTAGCTAACTAACAAACTCAATCAAGCTATCCCTAAACAATAGGTTTGAGCACTCTACAGACAGGAGAGCTAGCATCCTTCTCCCTAGCCCTGAGGTTACACGGATAATAGAGGGTGATAACATTGATTTTCGGCCTGAGGTTGGACGCCTCTACTATGAGAACGCTCCGCCATTGGATGAGGATGATCTTCAAGAAGAAGTTGCTTCGGATGGGATGGATGAAGATAGAGCAGTGGAGTTCGACACTAACATGTATCACTTTGGTGAATATGTACCTCCAGCGAGGCAGAGCAAGAGCAGAAGTGGTGCAAGAAGCAGGACAAGCTGCTCGCCAAGTGTTTCAAGGCTATCAAGCTTCTGACAGATAAGCTGAGTTGTTCCTCCTGCACCACTGCTATTCCACAGAGACAGCCTCCTCTGGAGATGTCATCGAGGAGATTTGATGAGCCTGCGCACAGGCCTTAGCTTAGCGAGTAGAGAGTCTCACATGTCCTGGCTAGGCATTCATCATTTGAGTCCCGGGAGCACAAGAGAAGAAGGAAGGCTACACTCACTCGATCTAGCAGCAGATCACGCCTCATTCACTCGAGGAGATCACTCGACCGCGGTGCTAGCCGCAGCAGAAGGAGAGAGGTCGAGTATCCTCAGAGCGGTGCTGGCCGCCACATTGCTGATGAGGTCGAGTACCCACCTACTGGAGCTGATATAGAACAAGGTGGTTCATCTATGGCCTGGGAGCAATCACATGCAGCCATTGACGAGCAACTACGTTCATTCTTCGACTGAGGTAAGCGCCACACTTCACCAATGTATTATATCATCTGTTGTGATTTGTTTTTATTTCATTTTGTTTCTGTGATTGGATTTGTCCTGCGTACTCTCTTCCAAGTTTATTCGCACAATGGACTGTGTGATTTAAGTTTGGGGGAGGGCTCAGGAAGTGTGTGTTGCATTGTATATATTCTTGAGTCTGCATTCATCTAAGGCATAGAAAAACCAAAAAATGTTGAAAAATTTCAGAAAATGATTTCACAAAAAAAAAAAAGAGTGTTCATGTAGTTGCATTACATTTAGGATCTAGTCTAGAGTGTTTCATTTAGGATTGTTGCATATGCATACGGGATGATGATGAGATAGCCTTGTAAGCATTTTGATGGGATTACCATTAGAGCTTCATTTGATGTACTCTGGGTAGATGGGATCTTATCTCTGTATGCATAGCTTGGGACTTACCTTTAGCATTCTACTAAAGCTGAATCTTTTTTTGAGAGATCCCCTGTTACTGAAGCCTATTCTGTAAAGGACCATCTTTGTCTCTTAACCTTTTACCTTAGCCAAATGAGTTCTTTGATGATGCATTGCTTGATTCACGTTCCAGAACTAATGAATGTTAAAGGGATTGGTAGATTTGAAAACTTGTGTAGGTCGAGCATATGAGTCGGATTGATTGATGATGAGGCATGGCTAACGTTTTTAAGAAGAATTCGATCTTGCAGCTTAGACATTGATTTCATCTGCTTTATCTGGTGCTTTGGCTCTGAGTCCCCCCTTTCAAACCTCACCTCCAGCTTGTTCTTGATTGTTTGCTTGAGGGCAAGCAAAGACTAAGTTTGGGGGAGTTGATAAGTGTGTATTTTGCATGTTTTGAGCATCCATTTGTCATCATTTTAGCATCATATCATCACTGTTTCATACCATTTCTCATCATTTGTCATCACTATACATGTTTAGGATAGATTTGCATGCATGTTGCATATTTGCGTTGATTTGAGGTGATTTGGAGCTGTTGACGAGCTATCTGGAAGAAGCGGGCCTAATCATGTCAAACCATTCGACCCCGCGGTCGAGTAGAGGACATCACTACTTCACCACATCACTCGACCCCGAGGTCGAGTGTCTTCATCCCATCACCTGACAATCACTCGATCACATCACTCGACCCCGAGGTCGAGTGTCTTTACCTTCATTGCCAGACCACTACTCGACCTCTTCACTCTACCTGGAAGTCGAGTATCACCATCACCACCACTCGACTGCATACTCGATGACAAGCTTCAGAGCCTTCTTCATTCCGCACTCAACCAGACACTCGAGCACAACGAAGAAAAGAAGACTCCAGCTATTCATTCGACCTCCCACTCGACCACATGGGTCGAGTACAGTTCTTAATCCGTCCCAATACTTCGTCGTTTTAAGTATTAGGGTTTCAGAATATTTGGCTATAAGTAGCATGTACTTCACATTTTCGCAGACAAGTTTTTATCTAATTTTATTCCGCAGCCTTGTGTTCTAGACCTTTTGTAATCCGGATTTCTCTATATCTATTCAGTATTCAGTATTCAGCTTTTGTTCTTGATTTCGTTTATTGTTGTTCATTCTGTTATCATCCTTCTGTTACACTGTTGTTATCATGTTTTCAACTTGTTCAACGTTTATGCTTTCTGTTATGATGTCTAAGTAGTGAACATGTTTCTGAGGATGGGTAAGAGTAGTGTAGAATTCTCAGTATGCTAAGTGATTGAGTATTGATTGATAGATCCCTTCTGGATTAGTTGTTCTTAATGCCTATTGCTTTCTGATCAACTGGAATTTGAGCCCAGACATTTCTGCGCCCAAAAGGTGTTCGATGAAATGTCTGAACCACTAATTCCAGAGATTCGTGACCCTGTACCAAGGTATTGGTTGCAAGGAGCCTTTTGGCTTTAACTTGTTGATTCGTAATGCCTGTTAGGTTAGCTCTCGTCAATGGTGATTGAGTCTGGGACTAGGTTAACTTGAGAGTCTCTGTTGCGGTGGTACTTAAATTTGGTTAATGAACTTGTTGTCTAGGGTTAATTTATTGAGCATGTCAATCACCTGTAAACTGAGAAAACGAAACTACTCAATTACCCCATCCTCGGGAATTCTTTATCTGATTGAATTCTTTGTTTACTCTACTGTTGTTTACTGCATCTTGTTAACTGTCGCTTAATTTCTGCAGTTCTTTCTTGTTACTCGACCTCATACTCGACCACTCAGTTGTCTGGCAACAGACTGTGCAGTCGAGTATCTGTGTTATACTTTCTCTCTGTTACTCGACCTGTCACTCGACCTCACCCAGTGCTTGCAACAGAGCTGTGTTGGTCGAGTGTTTTACTGTTTCTGTTTGATTTTCTGTTTTCTGCATGATCACTTAGGACTGCTAGAACACACCAAAACCTGTTATTGCTTGGCTTGACTTAGTGACTTCTGATCACATCTTGATTGGTAGCATCACACCCATTTGGATTGACAACCTAAAATAGTACAACGACATGATTGGTGTTTTAGGATAATTGACTAAAAACCTATTATCATATATATTCCCCCCTTGCTCTTTCACCCAAATCTTCATATTCTCCTGGATTCTGAACTGCTTTGTGTTCATCTAAAAGCTTCTGGTACCCCAAAGTCTCCAAATGTAAATCTCCTTCTTTGCTATCCTTTGTTAAAGCACTTTGTAGATGATCTGTTTCTCCTAGCTCTTCTAGCATTTCGTCAGCTAACATATCCATCTCTTCAATCCAGAAAACATTTCCTTCTATTGTAGGCTTCTTCATGGTGTTGGTGATATCCAAGGTCATCTTGAGATCTCTCCCGAGGTTAAGATCAATCTTTCCCTTCTTAACATCAATGATAGCTCCAGCTGTAGCTAAAAAAGGTCTTCCCAGTATCAAAGGGTCTTTGGGTTCTTCATCCATTTCTAAAACCACAAAGTCTGTAGGTACTTCGACCACACCTATCATGACTAGTAAGTCTTCCAGCAGACCATGGGGAATTCTAACAGATCTGTCAGCTAGGATCAAGGATATATTGCAGGGCTTGTACTTGTTGAAGTCCAGTTTCTTTGCCACAGAGAGGGGCATGAGACTCATAGATGCACCTAGATCACAGAGGCACTTGCTGAAGGCTAAAGGACCAAGAGCGCAAGGCAAGGTAAACGAACCAGGATCTCCTAATTTTTTTGGAATGATCTTCTGCTGAATGATCGCACTACATTCGTGACATAGCACCACCATTCCTTGGACTTCTTTGATCCTTTATGTAATCATGTGTTTCACATATTTGTTAGAGTCTGGTATAAGTGCAAGACAATCGACAAGAGGCATTGTGACTTCAAGATTTTTCAATTGTTTCTCCAGGAGAGCTTTGTACTTCTATATCATGACCTTCTTGAATCGACCAGGAAATGGAAGTGGGGGCTTGTAAGGTGGGGGAACGAAGACGTTGTCTTTGGTTTTGGCGGCAGCTGGTTTTTCAACAAGAGGGGATGCTGCAGGAGCTAGTGGTCGAGTAGGTTGGTCGAGTATAGGCTCTTCTATTGCTTTTTCAGCAGAATCTTCATTCTGACATAAATCCTCCCCATCTCACTCCACACTGTCCTCAGTGTTCTGGTTCAGACTCTTTTTTGTGGGTAATTCTTTACCGCTTCTAAGCGTGATAGCATGAGCATACTCCTTTGAATTTGGCATTGATTTTTCGGAAGGTCCTGTAAATTTGGGTGCTGAGGTCGACCCATTTTGGCCTTCTATGTATCTGATCTTAGATGTCAGTGCTTCAACCTTGATATTGATATCATTGTAACTGCAGTCAACCTTTTTATGAATTTCTGCCATCCTTTTGGACAAATCCATTGCTCCTGTTGCTTGTCCTTGGAGAATCTGATGTAACATGTTCTTCAAGTCTGAATCTGGAGTTGTTGAAACAGGTTGTTAGTGCTTCTGTGCAAACTCAGGTGGTGGAAGTTGCTGCTGATAGTTGCCCTGGTACTGCTGCTTAAGAACATACCCCTGACCTTGGTTGTATGGAACAAAGGACCCTGGTAACTTCCTTGGTGACCTCTTCTGACTGCAGAGTCTCCCCATCCTGAACTTGGAACGTCTCATCATCACCCAGAAAATGAATGTGCTTCTGTTGCACAAGGAGTAGCTTGTTCAGTTTGTCATTCATAGCTTTCATTTCCCTACGGTGCTTCTCATCAGAATCAGAATTGGTGCGGATGCTTCTGTCATAATCTTCATTATAGTTGCCATCCAACTGAGCCAAGTTCTCTACCAGCTCCCATCCTTCTTCAACATCTTTGTTGAGGAAGTTCTCGTTAGAAGCGGTATCAAGAAGCATCCTGATCTTGGGAAGGACACCTCTATAGAGAGTGCTGAGAAGTGAAGCTTTGGAGAAACCATGATGAGGACATTGCGTCTGATAACCTTTGAACCGCTCCCATGCTTCACAGAAAGTCTCCTTATTTGTTTGTGTGAAACAGGAGATATCATTCCTTAGTCTCGTAGTCCTGGAGTTTGAGAAAAACTTTGCCAAGAAGGCTTTCTTGCAGTCATTCCAGGAGGTGATAGAGCCTTGAGGAAGCGACTTTTCCCACTGATAGG